AGAACGAGGGATGCTGCTGAAGACGTGTCGCCTGAAAAAGCCACTGTCGAAGAAGAAACTCTACCCGGTTTTGAGAGGGAAAACAATGAAGCCGTTAATGAAGTTACTACAACTGATGTGACTGATGGGACATTTCCTGATGGAGCAGATGAACCCCACGTAAAGCAGAAGCCAATGAGACGGAGACCAGTATGAAAGAAGAAATGTCCTGTAAAATTAAGAGACTTTGTTGAATTTTAATTTTGTGTTTGTAAATTCTGTACATTTAATTAAGTTATTGTTAATTATCTATTGGTTTAATGTAAGTGGCTATTGTTCAGAACGAACAATACTAAGGAAGGGGCAGTGTTACGACAGCAGAAGTCACGTGACGTTGCTAACGCATGCGTGACTGAGTTTCTCGAATTATCGGGGAAGCTCGAGTGTGATCCAGACGCCCCTTTGTTAGTATATAAGCCTGGCAGAAAAGGGCGAGGGAATAGTTAAGCGAACAGTAGTTACAGTTTTACGGATAATTTACGATTTTGTTTCGAGCTAGTGTGTGTTTTGCACTCGTAGAGAGCGAACTTTTCGAGATTGTGAATCGCTGTGATTTATAGCGTGTATTGTAAAAGTTATTAAGTTCAAAGTGATGAAAAATGTACTGACTGTGGAATTATTGTGTACTAAAATTTGTATCAAGAAAGAATAAACTGGTTTAATCAAGAAATGAATTGTATCGCTGAAGTTCCTCGGAAAGAATTTCTACCGGAAATTAACAAACTAGCAGATACGCAACAGTATAGTAAAAAAATAAGATAACAAGACTAGAGATACTGTAGACATTACTTACTTAAACTACAAATCCCTATTTTGACTTCACCAAATATAATTCTAGGTAACAGCATGAAGCCAAAATAAGGGTTTGTAGTTTGAATAAATAATATAACCAGTCTTGTTTGCTTAATTTTTTATTATCCCTATTTGCAGGTTTTTAAATTGTATGTGTCCGTGTTTGTGCATGTGTGTGTAAACTAAAAGATTTGAGTAAAAAAGGTAATTTCACATAGCCAGCATCTAAAGCTTTGTATGAAAATTTCCACAGGTTGCATAAGATGAATAGATCAGTAGACAACAATGAAAATAACTGAACAGTATAAATCAGTCAAAATATGAGATGTTACTTTACAGGTGTTTAATAATAATATACAAAATAATAATCACGTACATAAACTTACAAGTAACTTGATAGTATTAAAAAAAACTTATAGGACCAAAGACCCTGGTAAATCACATAAAAAAATAAAAAAAACGAATAAAACCTTAGCGCTTTCAATAAGTACACGTGTCTTCATCGGGGAAGTTTGCAACAAATGAATGAACACAGTTCACTACGTACCAAGTACTACTTGTGAGAAATGTGTTAAAGAAACTAACCTCAATAAAACATTGTCTTTCAGTGCATTGGATAGTATAATTTATCTTCGGGTATCTTGGTATAACATATGTAAAGGTATATTGGAATATGTTATTTACAGTCTTGGTTGACAACTTCTAAGTTACAGATGTCGTTATTTTGTTTCACTTCTATACACTCATTCATATAATATCCACAATATTACAAGTAGTAATAAATTTTGAAATGATAACATAAAAATAAATTTAGTTTAGTTTAATTTGGATATTCGCACAAAAATTCACAATTCCCAATTTTTTATTTATCTTGTTTCTACACTTTTCTCCTAAATTGAACACAGCATCAGAATCATTGCTACAGCAGGATTGTTAGTTATTACTGTCTATTCAGCAGAACAGATGTTGATTATTGAAGTAGTAGTTGAACACCTGAAGCTTGTTTGATGTTGATTATTGAAGTAGTAGTTGAACACCTGAAGCTTGTTTGATGTTGATTATTGAAGTAGTAGTTGAACACCTGAAGCTTGTTTGATGTTGATTATTGAAGTAGTAGTTGAACACCTGAAGCTTGTTTGATGTTGATTATTGAAGTAGTAGGTGAACACCTGAAGCTTGTTTGATGTTGATTATCTAGCGTTTCCTATCTATTTCTAATCTACTTGAAGGAACTTAACACAGAAGTAACAGTGGTTTTGTCATCTTCACGTCACTCAAGCTGAAAGACAAGGAAAACATACCGAGTTTTTTTTTCTCTAGAAAATAACACCTCAATTTCATACTTTCAGAAAAACATGTCATTGCTCTTGCAAAAGACAAAACCAAACAAAAAAAAAAAACAACAACAACAACAAACGCTGTTCTCAAGAGGTTGAAAATTATAATATCCAACTTTAAAAGTACAGAGTATACTTCTTACTAAATTGATGTTAACGATTGTAATGAATGCTAAATAATGGTCAAAATGACCTCAAACGGTGTGCCACATACATACCAAGTAAATCAAATGCAGCTGGAGTGATAGACGTGCATGTGAAAGTATTTCCTCGTGCTCAGATCAAAATTTCTTTTACAAGAGTAATGTTATGCAGCCCAAGGGATTGACCTTAATACATGTACATTAATAACACGTCCCGCCTGTAACTCGATAGCTGGGTCCTGAAAGAAGTTTTGTCCTACCATTAAAGCAACCGATAGTAAACTGTCCTATACTTCCCCCATGTATCAACTGACATGTCATAAAAGAGCGTGCACGTGTGCCTTTGGGTATGAGACCTAGATGAATAGGGTTAGTTTTTCGAGCCTAAGGAATAGAGCCAGCTTCATATTCGATTGCAATATGAAGTGCATGCTTTAAGTAATTGATAGTAAAAAGTTTGCTGTGCTATTTTTTCCCCTTTATTTCCATAGTGGTTACAAGCCATGCAAGCTGCGAAAATATTTAGAGAAATTCCATTTATTGAACGTTAAAAATCCGGACTAGGCCTGTGGTCTAAATTTGTTATTCTATTTTATATATAATTATTCGGACTAGCGAGACTTAATAGTGGAGACACTTTTTTTTTTTACTTGTTTGGTTACGTTTTAGAAGATTTTGAAACTTGCTCTAGGTGATGTATAAAAGTGTTTAAAATACAATGAAGTATCGAAGCGCATCTTACGTTAAGAAATATTATATAGTTAGTGTATCTTTCTTTTTCTTGGGGGGGGGGGTAAAGCAAATAAATAAACAAATAAACAAGGTACACATTTGAGAAACTAAAATACATTTTGAATATATATATATATATATATATATATATATAAGTAG